GCTAATATATTCTCAACTCCGGTTAAGGCAGCGAGAGCGTGGTTTTCGTTACGTGTAAGTCCCGTTACGGCTTACATTCATCTACCGAAAACCCCGTTGAATATCAAGACATCACACTCGTATCATATAAGACCGGATATATTTCTATTCTCGGTACTATATATGTTTATCCTTTAATGTTCATAGTTTAGACTTCAACGTTAATTGCAAGTATAAACTAAATTTAACATACTTCTATGTTGTACACCATAGTCATAAACACTCAATATATAAAGGATAAATCACAATTTATTGATTTAGAACTTTTATCAAACACCTAGTGGGTATAGAAGTTCATCCCTAGCCTTAGCTAAGAAATTAGCCTCTAATGCTCATATTAATCAACAAACAATAATAAATGTAATGGAACATGAAATTACAAAGGAAATAATACCTAAACACCAATGATTTCGGAGGATGAACTTCCCTCCTCAAGAACTTGAAGAAAATACCAAGAACAAAAATATAAAAGCTAAGAATTAATCTATGGAATGGAATGATTTTGTATGATGAATTGAGGGCTTTATATAGGCTAAAGAAAGGCATCTTTTAGTCTATTCAAGCCCAACAAGCAAGTATGGAGGAGATATTTGATCAAATATGAGGAAGATGAAGTTTTCCCATCGAGAAATCTCTTGCACGTAGCTGTGTTTGTAGCAGAAATCGGAACAAGCGGTGCCGGTTGTAGGGTGTCCGGCGCCGGTCTTGTGAAAAAATGCACCGGTCGCTCTGCGCCGGTTGGAAACAGGCCGATTTTGGGGGAAAATCCCAACGATCGGCGCCGGATGTGTGATGACCGGCGCCGTTTCCTGCGCCCAATCTTGTACTTAGCTTCTTTTCTCTTTTGATGCCCAAAATTTATCCAGAAGTGCCGGTTTTCGACCCCTTTTGACTTTTGACCCTATTTTTGCTGTTCCAAGCCGTATTTCATGTTTCCGCTCACTCGGGAATATTTACCTGTTTTTGCTTCATATTTTTGTACAGATAATTATAATCACTTATGGAAAACATAAGTAATTATTGTGCTTATCATAGTTACAGTTCCAGTTAAGCTTTTTTGTGATAACATCTCTGCTTCATATTTGACTGCAAATCCAGTTCAGCATGCTCGTAGCAAGCATATCCAGGTAGATTATCATTTTGTATGAGAACGTGTGGCGCATGGAGATTTAGTTGTGAAGTACATCCCTACACAACTGCAGTTAGCTTATATTTTTACTAAAAGTCTTTCTAGTCAGCAGATTCACTTGTTAAAAGACAACCTGCGTGTTGTATCTCCCGCACAGTTTGAGGGGGTGTAATAGAATATTATTAGGAATATTGTTTCCTAGTTTGTGTTAAACTCTTTTATTATATATATACAAGCTAGGACTCCTATTGGAGTACCTTTTCCCAAAATCTCACAATCTGAAGAAGGTTTTAGAAGACAACAAGAAAGGAAGAGGTTGATTTAAGAAAAAATGTTGGTTCTGCTAGTGACAGTTTTGGTAGAAGGTAAGCAGAATTGTTATATGAACCAAAACAATTTCAAAGCTTCGGATGGTGTATCAAGAGTGAAGGATCTAGACTACTGATGTGGCTACACTTTGCACACGTTAATCAAAGCAAAGGATTTTTGAAATGAGAACGGAGCAATGCATTTTTCTGGATCTCTAGTATTTTTTATTGCAAGTTTAAAAAGTTATGAACTTTTAATGCTAAATATTACGAGTCATATTTCTAGCAACAAAATCTAGAAATGTTACTAGAAAAGGTTATGAACTTTATATGTATTGAATGTTTTATAATCAAAATCTAAAATATATTTTATGTTGATAGTGTGGTGTTTAAAGTAAGGAGGATATCAAGGAAAGCACAATCAATAACTGGGTGGACAACTCAAAACTTGAACATCGAGAAAAAAGAAGAGATAAAAAATGGAAGGTTTGAATTTTGGATATGACTTCATAGATGAACCAAACTAGGGTTTGGATATGGCTTCATAGATGAACCAGGGAACACTGGTCGCACCAGAATAATACAGAATAATAAAGATAAGACCACAGAAGATGAAGCATAATGCTTAGAGTAGCTAAAGAAGGTATGAAGAGAATTAAAATTGTGATTTATGATGAGTATTTAGGAATAGTAAATTGATTGTAGTACAACCCATTTATGATGAGTACTTACTATTTAGGAATAAAATTAGATTTTTTTATAGTAGAGTAATGTTTTAAAAAAATACTCCCTCCGTTCCCATTTTATCTTCCGTTTCTCATGGGCACTCAATTTAAGAAAAGTAGGTACTGTGTGGGGGAGAGTTGTGCAGAGGAGAAAGAAATGTGTAAGAAATGTTGTGAACCACAAATTCTTTACCAAAAGGGAAAAGTGTAAGTTTAATTGGAACAGATGAAACAGGAAAGTTGGAAGATAAAATAGGAACGGAGGGAGTAGCCCAGAACAAAAGTGAAAATTGCTTCTTGTCGTTTAAAGAACAGAAACATATATTGGAGTTTTTAAATGAAGATGCAAAAATAACTCTAAGTGGTTCAAATTGCTCTAAGAAATACTTTTTTAAAAGTTGGAGCTACCAGCTCATGAATAATTCATTAAAAATCGATTTCTACTTATAAAAAAATGAGAAATAACATCAATTCCAAACACTCATAGTGTTTCTAAAAAGAAACACGTGTTACTAACACGAAGCATCTTATTATCCCCAAACATAAGGGAAAACTGTCAAATAGGTCCTCGAACTTTCATAAAAAGGTCAATTAAGTCCTTCTATATGAGGTTCTGTCCGGCCGTCGCGATTTGGGGCAGTTCCCGGTGGAATTTTTTGATGAAAGTTTTTGAGCATCTCATTCACCAAGTCTAGTTTACTCATACCAAATTTCAGCTAAAAATTCAATCGGGAACACATTCAAATTAATTCTTGACGATAACTGCGCATTTTTGCGTTCTCGAATTAATTTGAATGCGCCCCGATTAAATTTTTAGCTGAAATTTGGTATGATTAAACTAGAATTGATGAATATAAGATGCTCAAAAAATTTCATCAAAAAATTCCACCGGGAACCTCCCCAAATCGCAACGACCGAACAGAGTCTCATATAGAAGGACCTAATTGACTTTTTTATGAAAATTCGAGGACTTATTTGACAGTTTTCCCCCAAACATAAAGAGAGAACCCACCGGTGGCATTCTCATCTTTGACCAATTTCACTTGTGTATTAAAAGATGGAAGATTTTCCAAAATATGAGTAAATGAAGTTAGGAATTCCAAAATAGAACTATTATTTTAGGCATGGACCCAACCGGGCCGATTAGAACCCAAAAAAATAGATAGAACCGGGCCTGGGCCGGCCCAATTTGGTCCGGACCCGGTATCAACCTGGGCCGGTGCCGGGCCCAACATTCCGAAAAAAAGCGCGCCTGGGCCTAGGCCCGGCCTGGAATTTGCCTGACCCGGTCCGAGTCCACCCCTAATTATATTTTTACTTTAAAAAGTTACGAGTCATATTTCTAGCAACAAAATCTAGAAATGTTACTAGAAAAGGTTATGAACTTTATATGTATTGAATGTTTTATAATCAAAATCTAAAATATATTTTATGTTGATAGTGTGGTGTTTAAAGTAAGGAGGATATCAAGGAAAGCACAATCAATAACTGGGTGGACAACTCAAAACTTGAACATCGAGAAAAAAGAAGAGATAAAAAATGGAAGGTTTGAATTTTAGATATGACTTCATAGATGAACCAAACTAGGGTTTGGATATGGCTTCATAGATGAACCAGGGAACACTGGTCGCACCAGAATAATACAGAATAATAAAGATAAGACCTCCGAAGATGAAGCATAATTCATCTTCTAAAAAGATCTCAAGATTTAATTCACTTTATAGAGTCAAAAAAATCGCGTGAAGAATTAATCTCTTTTCTCTTTCCTCTCTCACTTTTTCTTCTCATTTTTATCATCTTTATTTTTCTTATATTTTTATGCTAGTACTCCTCCGTCCCAAAATGAACTTCACAGTCACTATTCACATGGTCAACTTAAATTATTCTTAATCTTATGTTTTATATATCAAGTTTTTATCAAATTTATATTTTTTTTATCAGCCTTTGTAGCGATTTTAATGTAATTTCTCAATATGTAAATTTTATTTACTAAAAGTAATGAGTATGAACAGAGATCGAGTTGCTTTATCGTCAGTCAAGCATCGTAATCCGAAATGAGAAGTTCATTTTGGGACGGAGTAGTATTATTTTTGCCTTTTCTTTTTTATCCTAACTTATTTTTTTACTCCCTCCGTCCTGAATTGAATTGCAAACTTTGACCGGCACAAGGATTAAGGAATGACAATAAATGATGTTTGTTTTTTACTATTTTGCCCATCTTTCTAAAAGTAGATGCCTTTAAGTTAATGGAGAAAAGTAAAAGTAAAAGTAAATTTGTCACTTTATTCTTATTTACATACCTAAAATAGATAGTGAAAACCCATTTTGGAATAACCAAAATAAGAAATTTTGCAAATCAAAACAGAACAGAAGAAGTATTTTTCTTTTCTTTTTGGCTCTAACGCGATCCAATTCATGTTAGTTAACAGTTATTTGGCATGTTTTCTTAATATTATTATAAGCAATTTATTATCAAAAATTTGTGTTAGCCAAACCCAATTTTTTTGGAAACAAAATTTGAATGTTGTTGTACAGTCGCAAAAGCCCAAAAACCCTACGATAGATGCATCACTTCAGCTTAAGGGTGGACCGGGACCGAGTCAGGTCAGGTTTGTACTGGGATCAGGTCAGGTCAGGGCTTAAATATTTTTTCTTTCTTTTTTGGTCGTTTTGAATTAATTCCAACGGTTCTTTCTTCTTTACTGGTTCATTATTACAATCTGAATCGTTCTTTTTTATTAATAACCATCACAAGAGGAAACGACGTACTCCCCAAACGGATCCTTAAAAAATGCGTGCAATTACTCAGGAAAGATTAGATTAAATAAAACTTAAAATATGGTAAAGCTGGTACAACTTTAATGCCTCCAAAATACAATGTCACCATGATTATCATCATCATCACAACTTGCAAATCAAAAGTCAAATAAAAATATAGCCAAAATAATCTACCATTTGGAACCAAAGGTGTACTACATATTCACATATGCATTTCGTTCACCTAGTAATAGACAATTAAAGCCTGTCTGTCAGTCAATCGATCACCAAAGACTGCTTCTTGCGACTCCAACACTTCAACAAATTCCTCATATATCTGTAGAGTGTAGAGGCTACAGTTGTCCATCAAAAGAACGAGGACTTTGTAGCACTAACACTGCACAAGACCCCACGATAACACAATATGATTTCGTTTTGGTTAAGAGAAGTAAAAATCTTTTCGAAAAAATAGCTGTAACAGTCAGATCAGACAATAGGGCTGTGGGATAAACGAGTTAATTTCAGACTTGCTTGAATACTTGAACATATTTTTAATGAAGATATTTCTTATTTATTAACTTTTCCATCCCTATCTATCTAGTTTACCCAGTTGGACTTTGCATGGAGATTTTAAAAAAAAATATGAAAATGTTAGCATTTGTTTGGAATGGAAATAATCCATATCAAACATACAAATCTTTGCTTAAAATGAAAAGGGATGACTCTTGGAGACTAACCATAAGGGGGAGACTGGTGGTAATAAAAAGCACAATGAGTTCTTATAATGTTATATCAAAAGAAAATCAAGACATTTTAAAAAAACTTAGCATAACTCACTGGAGGTATCAAGTTCTGTGTGGTGTAATAGTGTGAGGATGAAAAACAATAGCTAAAACGAGTGCTTGTGCATGAGGAACCAGAGGTACTTAGTGGGCAAGCAAGAGCAATGAAATTTACCTCTAACCATTGAAGAATTGTACTCAGATACGAACTTCCTTATTCTGTTTGACATCTTCATTGCCATCAGCAGTATATGAGCTCCTCTTCCGAACAATGGGGAATAACTCATGGATCATGGAAGGAGCTCTCCAAAACTGAGGGCTTGTGGAATGAATTTTGAAGAATATTTTCTACTTTAAAAGCATCCACTCCCAATACCCTCAGATGCATATGCCTGCATCCTGCCACAATGTAAGAAAAAAATGTGCTGCTCAGAAAGCTGCCTCTCAATCATGTGCTCAAGAAACTGTGGCAGGATGCAGGCATGGCCCAGGCCCCTTATCGGGGCCGGGCTAACCCAAAACTGGCATCAGGTTGCTGCTGGTAAGACTGCAAGGTAACAAGTAGTAAAAACAAGTCAGTGTTGAACTTTATAATTATGTGGAATGGTAGCTAGAAATGATGGGTGTGCAAGGCAAACAATATTCTCTAGCCTACACAACAAGTGCCAAAAACGAATATGTAAAAATGTGTAGAGTAGATTACTGAAGCATGCATCTGAGAGAATATTATGTTTTGTTTGGTAGGGCATGTAGGGGATTTTAGGAGATGAAAGAATGGAAGGGGTTATGTTTTATCTCACATTAGGAGGACTATGTGCTTCATGGAAACAAATATGTAGTGCATAAATTACTATGATAATGACACATTATTCTTTTTGAATAATATTCATGTTAAAGCAGTAGTTTATAGGAAAAATGTTCAATAAGTGCAGCTCAATGCCCATTTTTACCAAGTATACAAGTCTTATTTTATTGCCAATTACTATGTTGCTTTATAATTTATACTCCTATTGCCCTGTATAGATATTTTTTAGAAGTTTTACCCCTATGATTTATACCTTTAGGGTTTAGAGTTGAGTATTCAGCGTTTAATGGTGGAGACAGCAGTGGCGGGCCGCCGATGGCAACCGCTTTGATCCCTTTCTCTAGAGTTTGGGGTTCAGTGTTTAGGGATTAGTGTAAAGCATTTGAGGTTTTGGGTTGTGGTGAAGGCAGCGGCCAGCGAGGGGTTGGTGGGTTTATTTCTTATTTTAAATATGATGGTATTTTTATTTAGTCATATGATAGATAAATAAAGAGTTGTTGATGACAACAACATCCAAGCCTTGGTCCCAAAAGAGTTTAGGGTCAACTAACATGAGTCAACATATAAAATCAGATTTAAAAAAGGAAACAAAGTTGTTGATGGCAATTTAGTCTTCATATGTAAAATGTCTTTGGTATTACAAAAAATGGCATGATTTAGTGAGCAATTTATAACTTATTATGTTATGTAGTTATTGATCAAAACCCCATCCTTTAATAATACGAATAACCACACACTCTTCTTGCCACTCCAAAACCAGAACACCCTCTTAAACATTCCCTAAGCCTTTGTTTCGGTTAACATGGAATATGATAGAAAGAAATAGTGGAAAGAAATAGTGGAAAGAAATAGGAGAGAAAAGGTGGATCCTACCTTTTTACTAATCATGTAATTAAGTGAGAAATATCATAGAAATGGATCACGTCGATTTCCTAAGCATTTCTTCTCCATTTCTCTCCTACTAACACATTATATCTACCATATTTCTCTTCTATTTCTCTCTTCTCTACCAACTTTTCGACCTATTTCTTTGTTCTCCACCCCTTTCTAAACCACATTCCCCTCTTCTTTAGTTCTTTCCTAAACCAAACAAGGGCTAAGAGTTTCAGTTTTCATTTTCTATAAATCTTTGTTCAACAACCTTTAACTTTATTCCCTTCAGGCTTCTGTGTGTGTGGGGGGGTCATAACTCATAAGTGCTTAAATCATGTGATTTGATGTATACCTGTGAAAAGGGTTGGTGAACTTGAATTTGTTCATGATGATGGACAAAAGGCATTCCAGGATGCTGACAAGGATACTGAGATGAGTGCAAGTACAAAGCAGGGTTGGACCGCACACCGACATGACTGGGATTGAAAGGAGGGTGCATCATGGTCTCAGCCTGACCGTATCCAATACCGGGAGTAGACGGTGTAACCCACTGCACAGGCAATCGCGTAGGCAGAGGGCGAGATTGGTGTTCATGGGAGATAGGAGGCCGGTGTGCTGATCCAAGTTGAGGAAACTCAGAATTGTAGTTTAAAGCAGGTGCATACAATGGTTGAATAGCATAAGGTCCTCCCGTAAATCCAAATCCAGGGTCAAACCTTTGCAAGTATCTGTAATATACATTACATACAATTACCAAAATGTAGGGAATTAATGTGCAAAGATTTCTATATCCAGATGGAGCATGTACACATGCATAACAAAAGATTGAACAACCACAAGCATATCAAACACAGAAGCACTCATTACTACGAAAACCAAAACACCAAAACAATTGAAAAGAAAAGAAAAATCAATCATCGGCTTCACTCCAGCCCTAACGGTATCAGTAAATGAAAATTTGAGTCAATAAGGTCTTTAAAGTTCGTTAACGCACAGAAGCATTCTGGCAAAGCTTTGTCATGGATGGCCTTCCAGTCACAACCTTCTTAAAGGATACAGAATGAGGAAAAAACAAATAATAGATGCCAAGCCAAATATTATAGCATTCACAGAGCAATACTGGTACAAAAATATCCAAAACAAAGGCTCAGACAACAATGAGTGCAAAGTTGCCTTTATACAGGTGACTGAGCAAGGTGAAAATCCAACAGGCTACAATTGATGAAGCATTGACCGGGCACCAAAGGTGTCTCCAGAAAACCAAAAGAGAGTATAAAGAGAACAAGAGCAGAGCAAAGCAACACAATACAGCAGTTTAAGTTTTCCTTTTCATAAGCCAAGTGGGGCGACTTGAAGAGCGGAGAAGAACATACCTGTCATAGCTCCTGTCATAATCAGGATCCTTGCGATCAGTTTCCCTATCCCTGAATATGGCCACTCTATTACTAGTTCTAGACCTAGCAATCTGCTCCTTCTCAGTCCTACTTCTAGCTGATCTATTGCTACCGGTTGACGAAGAATCAAGGGCACCTCTGCCAATACTCACATCAGAACTCCCAGCAGAGCTGGCCGCCTTTTCATCTACCTTTGCAACTCTTAGTGAACCAGGCTGGAAAGGTTCCAGCATCTTTGATTGACTTTCATTCTTTCCATTATCACTCCCGGCTAAATTACTAGAGCTAAAAATCCGAGCCCTTGCCCTGTTGTACTCTTCTTTTCTTTCCTCCACACTTTTACAGCTATTATTCTTTGAGGAGTGTGAATCTGAAGCACCACTAAACTGTGAACCTTTCTGTGGTCTCTGCTTAATAGCAACTTTGACAACACCGCTCGAGTCTTCCTGGGGAAAATTTACAGGTATATCAGCCAGACGAATTGAAGGAATTCGAGTTTCAGAACTTTTGCATACTATAATTCGGGATCCAGAACCATCTGGTAGACTGTTGTCTAGTAAGACCATTGACTGGAGAAAGTAGTGCTGAGCAACACGATGAGCAGCCAGACGCAAATAGGAGGTAGGTAACTGCTGGAACTCCATTTGCTGCCGGGTTGGATCTCTAATGAATTTTTCAACATCTTGCTCCAATCTTAAAACTGGACAGAATAACACGCAAAAAAAAATATTACTATCCAAAATCCCAATGAGAATGTATCAATAAGCAACATATAATTCAACTCTTGAAAAGAGAAAAAAAGAGTTTAATAGATGTCTACAGATTATACATTTAAACCATCATAAAAGAGCATAATGAGAAAGTAGGCTTTCCGTAACCTTCATCCACAGCATACATGTACACAACAGATATGCATTTATTTAGTCAAATTGTCAAAATACAAAGAGAGAAAGAAAGTAGCCTCCTCTATAGACCTCATTTATAGCAAGAAATAAAGAAAAGAGGTTCTACCCACGAAGGTTTACATTATTGGATTTCTTGAAATATGAGTTGAATGATCAAGGAGCCATCTCCTACTTGAACTCAAATGAAGGCACAATGCACTTTAGTTATTCAAAGAAGTGCATGATAATTGAAGAGCTTAAACAGTTAATATGAAAGGCAAGCCTTGGAAAAAGCCTTAAAGGGGAAAAGGCACAAACCTTATCTACTCTGTCCCTTTCAGTATACTGGTAACATTTAGATTAACTTTATATATTTAAAACTACATTATAAGTTTTATTGACCCGCAAAACCAGATTTGATTATCACTTTAAAATAGATAAAAAATCAAAAATTAAAATAGAGTTGGTTGGCTGTATGAATTGTGAAGGGGAACAATATTATGAATAATATTAATAAGAAAATGTAGTATTACTAATTTTTCAAGAAATTTAGAAAACTCCAAAAACACGAACATCTACAAGTTTCACTCAGTAGAGAGGCTATAATCTAGGATCAAAAGAGATATATTATATTCACAAGTCTGAGTAACAAACTAACAACAGAAAAAATCCGAAAAATTAAGTTGCAGAAATCCCTGAATCATGCTGCAGAAAGAAAAAGTTTCCCATATCTAATACCTTTAAGGAAGTGATAACTATAGGTCAAACAGACATACCAACTTTACAGCATTATTAAAACTCTCATGTCACCACTCCCAATGAAAATGATGTTTTTAGTTTGACTTATTTCAGTCCCAGACCAGACTTAAACATACCAGATCAGACCAGACTAGACTTTGACCGTTATAATAAAATACACAAAGGCCATACATATAACAGACAAGTTCAGAGCAGACCAGACTTAAACAGACCAGTTCAGAAAATTTTACTCATATTCAAGGTTTGAAATTGCGTATTGCGTAGTCGTGGCGTTTTTTGAATATTGCATATTGCGTAAGCCTCATTGCGCAACGAGGCGTATGCCTGAGGCGTAATATATATACATATATATATATATATATATATATATATACACACACACACACACACATATATATAAATATATATATAATATAAACATAATAAAAAATAAACATATTTGTCAAAACTCGTCAAATGTTATATTAAAACAAATCATAAGAGGCCACAGTCCTAGCAAAGTAATATGTTCAAACTTCAAAGTACCATAGAATACCAAAACTTTCTGAATCGTTTATAAAAAAATCTAAGATGTGAGAATTTAAGATTGATCGACTGAAAAAATCCAATCAATAACTAGTGATTTGAAATAGGGATCATAACATCAATTATAAAATTTTAAAAGTGGGCCGAGTGGACCCAAATAATACCCTTACACCCTGATGTTCTCATAATGCGTACGCCTCAGAGCACCTTATTGCGTATGCAATATTGCGTACGCCTCAGTGCACTATTGCGTACGCCACACTCCCAACGCCATATGCAATGCCTTTTACGCCATAGTCTAGGAATTAGCTGAGGCGCGCCATGAGGCGCAATTGCATTGCGCAATTACAAACAATGCTCATATTAAAAACATCCTAAATACGTTCACTTAAAGAGTATATCATCTGTGTTTAAAATCGTATAGTTTCATATACGTACAAAACACAAACATCTACAAACGGACCTAGGTTCATAAAAGTTTAATCCTCAAGGAGCTATTATGTAGTTCTCATGTTTAACAATTAGCATTATAGACACACACACACTTTTAATTTTCATAAGTAAAGTTACATTTATAAGAAAGAATAACAATGTGTATTTTCTCAATGTTGCATTTTCAAAAATAATAATTTTTTTTAGCTTTGGTATAGTTCTTTGTGTGATCTCAATGTAAAGTCCTTCACATTCCATTCGCCATCTAAGGCATTGGACACGAGGCATAAAAGTAAAATTCCTTAATAGTTGAAGACAAGGTTTGAAATTGCGTATTGCGTAGTCGTGGCGTTTTTTGAATATTGCATATTGCGTAAGCCTCATTGCGCAACGAGGCGTATGCCTGAGGCGTAATATATATATATATATATATATATATATATATATAGACACACACACACACACACATATATAAATATATATATAATATAAACATAATAAAAAATAAACATATTTGTCAAAAGTCGTCAAATGTTATATTAAAACAAATCATAAGAGGCCACAGTCCTAGCAAAGTAATATGTTCAAACTTCAAAGTACCATAGAATACCAAAACTTTCTGAATCGTTTATAAAAAAATCTAAGATGTGAGAATTTAAGATTGATCGACTGAAAAAATCCAATCAATAACTAGTGATTTGAAATAGGGATCATAACATCAATTATAAAATTTTAAAAGTGGGCCGAGTGGACCCAAATAATACCCTTACACCCTGATGTTCTCATAATGCGTATGCCTCAGAGCGCCTTATTGCGTATGCAATATTGCGTACGCCTCAGTGCACTATTGCGTACGCCACACTCCCAACGCCATATGCAATGCCTTTTACGCCATAGTCTAGGAATTAGCTGAGGCGCGCCATGAGGCGCAATTGCATTGCGCAATTACAAACAATGGTTGAAGATCTTAGGTCCCCCTATCACCTCAAATAAGAATTGCATGCTGATGGGATTTGATTACAATAACCATGAAAAGATAATAAATTGACCATAATAGTGGTTACGCAGAAGTGGTAATTTAGTATGGTTGGCCTGTTTTAAAAATAAACTAAGGCATTCTGTACTACTTTGAAATAGTCAACCTATTCTATACTAATGGGATTTTATAGATCTATTGTTCATAATTCTTGACCACCTTCTTCTTTTCAAACACTGTGAGAGTATTTTCAATCATTTCATTATAAGATTTCAATTGTTATCAATGGAATAACCAAGCCATCAATGTTGCCTTAACGTTTAGTACGGAACAGTTTTTACATTTATCTCCCCTCCAGACGCACAAACATCAATTCTTATTCTCATTCAAATCACTACTAGGGTCAAGAACTTGCAAAGAATAAACAAATTTCACATGGAACTCCAAAACACTCCTCATTCATTAACAAAAACCTGGTAACAAGAGAGATATTTACATAAAGTGGAAGGAACCTGAAAGCCGCTCCCTAGGGTTTTGTAAAGCCTCCCGGAGAAACTGATCGACGGAATTGATGGCATCCTCAGAAAGATTTAAAGCAGGAGCCGAAGTACTAGACGCCGGCGCCAAATTTGGAGCTGAAACCGAAGTACTGGAGAGGTCGGATAGACTAACGGAGTTCTTCTTGGATGAAGAGAGCATGAGCCGTCGCATGCTGGCGTCCACGTCAGCCACCTCCCAAGACTCAGGCGTGGCTCCAAGATCGTCTACCGCCGAACCAGAGCCCTCCATGCTCTTCAATCCTGACCTGCTCCTAGAAACAAAGGGTACAAAAAAACCACCAATCCTATCAGATGCTCATCAAATCGAGCTGAAATCTGACGTAGACCTGGACATTTTGCTCAAATTCATGGCGAAAATAGAACAAGAACGGGAATTTAGAGAGAGAGAAACCGATAGGGTTTGCGTTGCCCCTTCGGTCTTCGGGGGATTTTTCTTCTCGACGTTTGCGAGGGTAATGATGGGATTATAGAAGGTGACGATGCAAAGAAGTTTAACAGGTGGTGGTCATGGTCAGGTCTTAGCAACTAGCAAGAGATGTGAAGATCAAACAAAGAATCATTAAGAGCCCTAGTTACCTCCTACTATATTGTTTTTTTAGAAATTGCTCTAAATAGGAGGAAAAACGGTTTGAAATTCCAAAATAAGAGTATCATGTTTTTTATTTCTTGAATAGAAGTAATCTGCCAAGTTTGGAAAAAAATATCATGTTTTAAAGCCTAGTAATGTCAAACATGGCATAAATTTACTCATATTCAAGGAATAAAAAACATGATAGTTCTATTTTGAAATTTCAAAACTTTTTTACTCCTATTTAGGGAATTCTCCATTGTTTTTTTGAACAATAAAACACGTTCCAAATGAAAAATAATATTGACTAAAATGTATAAAACGTATTTTTTACATATTTTATTAAAAATAGAAACATGAATTGATCAATTAAACGAATGCATTAAATGATAGAAGATCAACAATTGCTTAAAAACAAAAAGGAAACTCTCCTCCCAATGACCCCGTATTTTTTTATTATTACAATACAATTATTAAATACTAAAATTAATTGAATGACAACTAAATCTCATTCTAAGAGACTAAAACTTAAAATACTACATAATGCTAGATTTCTGATGTTTTTTTCAAACAAATCCTAAAATAAGGGGTTTCTAAACTTGGCATTTTTAAGTACTCCCTCCGTCCCGGAAAATTAGTCCCACTTTGACTTGGATCGGAGTTTAAGAAAGTGGTAATAAAGTGGAAATGTATGGTTGTGGTTGAATAAGAAAAAGGTAAATGAATGTTAGCCACACAAAACTTTCCAAAAAGGGAAATGGGAACAATTTTTTGGGACGGCCCAAAAAGGAAAATGGGACTTATTTTATGGGACGGAGGGAGTATTAACTTTTACACACACACACAATACAATTTTGCTAGGTGTACACAAAATGTGTACACCTTTGGCACCCCATACAAAAGCCTTCCCGTTTTTTTTTAAATCACCCTCCTTCCCAATTCAAAATTTTACCCCATTTCTTTTGTCTTCCATCCAAATCTCCCACCCCATACTTCAGCACCCCTCCAACTTCGAACCAGCCCAAAACCACTCTCCCCCTGTCAAGCATTCCGCCCGATACAGTGGTCGTTGCTAGGATAACCGAACTTCCCTCGTGAACCACCCCTCCGACTTTGTAGCATCCAGAAAACGAGCCATGCTACGTCGGACAAACTGACCTACACCCAGGAAAAGAACAACGAGTACAAGAACGTCGACTATAGCAGTGAGTGACATTTGAGGAGTTTCAAACGGTGAGTGACCTAAAACGGCCAGAAATCGCAAGTTGTGACATTTGGGGAGTTTCAGGAAGTTTAAAATCAGTGAGTGTTTAAATTTTGAAGCCATGGTGCGAACTAGTTTGACAAATCTTGCTGAAAGGTAATATTATCATCCTTGTGTAGTACTCACCTTTGTATAGTATTTAATTTAATTAAATGGGACCTAATTTTGGTTGAAGGTTTGAGGATGTTTGTTTCTGTGATTTAAGAGTTGTTTGTGATGTTGTTTGTGTGTTGTGAGATGTTTGTCATTTGTTTTAAATTGTCTGTAAGGTGTTCATAAATGTATGTGATGTTTTAAATAGATGTTTGTCATTCATATTTACTTATCTGTCATTTGTTGTGAGATACTTGTCATTTGTTTTGAATTGTCTGTAAGAAGTTCATAAATGTCTATGATGTTATTAATATATGTATGTCATTCATATTTACTTGTCTGTCATTTGTTGTGAGTTGTCTATCATTTGTTTTAAATTATCTGTAAGGAGTTCACAAATGTTTGTGATGTTACAAATACATGTCTGTCATTTGTTTTGAGTTGTAAGTATTTGTTTGGAGTTGTCTGTAACGACTTCATAAATGTCTGTGCTGTTATAAATATATGTATGTAATTCATGTTGACTTGTCTGTCATTTATTTTGAGTTGTGAGTATTTGTTTGGAGTTGTCTGTAAGGACTTTAAAAATGTATGTGATGTTATAAATAGATGTCTGTCATTCATATTGACTTGTCTGCCATTTATTTTGAGTTGTTTATATTTGTTTGAAGTTATCTGTAATGACTTCACAATGTATGTGTTGTTATAAATAGATGTATATCATTCATATTGACTTGTCTGTCTTGTGTGGTGTGCATTTTTGGACATGTGGTTGGGCTTTCAAATTGCAAATTCTTGTTCGCGGCCACTTCCCTGCGCAATACTCACAATGCTCAGAATTGAAAGACGCTTCAACATTGGTGAAATCAGCTTTATATGTTCAGCAGATTGCTGAGTTTTGGAAGATGTCGTGGGGCCATCTTCTTGATGTGTCTGGCCTTCAGTTTTTTGCTCAAATTGTCTATAGCTTGTTGTTAAGGCTTGTGTGTGACCAACCCGAAGAAGAATTGTGGTTTTGCGTTAACGAGCAGTTGTTGAAGTTTACCTATGCCGACTTTGAACGTATCACTGGGCTCCGTTCTAAAGGTCCAACTCCAGTCTTCTCGGATGATGATGTTGCTATATAACTACTTTGGTGGTGCCATAGATATCAGATTTAGGATGTTGACGGAAAAGATGAAGTCAATTAAGCCAAAAAAGAGAGGAGCTCGTGGTGATGCTTTGAAGCTTGCATGTGTTTTTTATGTGGTGTGTGTTTTATTACCAAGGAACTAGAAAACAAACATCAATTCACAGAGATGCTCTCATGCCACATGTGCACTATGCACATTGTAGCATCAGAGATGCTCTAATATATTGCTTCTTATGCCCCTTAAAACTTTGTCAAGTTTGATTGACACATTGAGCTTTGTGCAGAGCGGAGAGAATTAAGAGGAACCATAAATTCTTTACTTAAAAGGGAAAGTGACAAAGTTAGTGGGACAACAAAAAAGAAAGTTAGTAAAGTTTTAAGGAACGAACGGAATAAAAAATGTCATTTGTAAACATTTTTGTGTGTGCTCATATATTTTGTCGGTATATGGAACAATTCGTTTACAATGTTGTAGAAATTATTGTAACTCTGTATTAAATGATTGTGATACTACCAAAATGTATGAAGCGTATATTTGAATGAACTAATTTTCGATGAAGCTGTTTGATTTAGGGTTGTGTTGTATTGTTGTTATCCAATCAATATATTCTATAAAAGAATGTAAAAAGGAAAGGACCCTTGACCCTTGATCCCATCACTTATCCTTCCCCACGTCGGGGGAAGTTTTGACAAGATAGGGTTAAACCACCAGTGTCTAAAAGCATGACAATCAATAGGCCGCAGATGAGATTCCTTTATATTGGAGCGTTTGGTGCAAGACAAAAGTGTAAAATGTGCAAACAACGGGCATAATGGCAACAAACTTTCTATCCTTTCGGAGCCTGATAGGGAAAAATTCTTCAAATCAAGAGAATAGTTAACAATCAAGAGCAATATGTAGGAAACCCTAGCCAAAGAAACAAAGGCACCGTTGGATCCTAACCAAAGTCGTCGACATCATCGTAGGAGCAGCGCTTCGTGAGAAGGACAGTGGATTTTGCAGGCTTTGCTCGAGGTATAGCAAGGGGATTACTTTCGATCGCAACCCGCAGTTTGCAGGCTGCAATTCATGAACACTTGAAAACTGGCATGGTTTGACGCTATTGACACAAGTGATAATCTCAGTCTGATTTCCTTCCCGGTATATCCGGTGTTTTTGTTCCCCTCGGTTGTAGGGTGCTTTTATTCCCGCTAGCTTTGACACAGGTGCTTTTGAATGGGTTGTGTGAGCTGGAACTGCCGCGGGTTAGGGAATCTAGCCACGGTCTAACTGGTGGAGGCCAGTATGGAGGTTGATGGAAACATATCAAAAACGGCTCTACGATGGTGCTACTAGATTAACACCGCCTAGAACTCTATTAGATCTCGTGAGCGGGATGGTTCCTTTGGAGGTGGCTGGGCAAACCTCTTCTTCCTTCTCGATTGCTGGTAAAATCGTAATGGCGTCTGTTCGTTGTTTTCATTTTGATAATTCTTGTTTGATGTCTTTTCCTTTTAGTAGCATGTTCAGTGATATTGTTAGTGTAGCTACCATGACGCGGGGTTAGCGAACTTGACGAGTTCTCAAGGGTTGGTCAGTTCTATGTCTGATCACAGGAGAACTTTGTGCTATCATATTGCTATGTCTCTTGTTATTCTTATCATTATTAATAAATAAGTTTTCTCTTTTCAAAAAAACGTGGGCATAATTTTTTGAATTGCATTTACTTATTAAATTTCTTTTGGCCACGATTGGTGAGGTTTTCTTGTAAGATTTGTTGCATGTGTTGAGCATTTGGAATCAAATATCACATTGTAAATAAAAAATGTCGTTTATGTGATTGTTATGAAAGAATCAGAGTTTTTTAAAACAAAAGATTACTTTTCCTATAAAAAGATTAATTTTGGGGGAATGTAATTACTACTGCGTATCATTTTACCAATATCATTATTTTAGCATAAGTTCCACATTGTATTAAGGTCCAAGTGCAATTGTTTTCATTGTCCGTTTGGTAACACTGAAATTGATTGAATCTACTAAAATTAATTAAATAATGACTGAATTGGTTGAATCTGCTAATTTATGGATATTTTTAAATACTCCCTCCAATTCTTTATTAGTTGTCCCATATTCCTTTTTAGGAAGTTTTTTATTATATTTCTCTCTTTCCCTTTTTAGCAAATTTATTCGATCAAAATATCTTTATACCATGAATTATATTACTCTTATCTTGTTTACTTTTTACAAATTATTTTTTCTTTCCTACCTTTAATTGCTTTGCTCTTCTTAATATAGTCTATTTCCTACGTTTTCATTTACCATACACCATTTATATTCCCTCATTATTTTCTTCTAAAAAATGTGAAATACCTATGATGGAGAGTATATGGCCCGGGAACCCCCGGTCCACAGACTCCTACTACACCAATAAAGGCCCAACCGGCCCAGGAAGCACAGCAGGCCCAAATTACGGCGCCCCAAGCACTTAGCAGCCCA